ATGCTTCTGATCAGGTGGTCAATGTCCTCATGTGGTATCTCATTCCAGCCAACCACCAACTCCTCTCGAAGTGCTTCTAGAGTCTGAGGAGGACGTTGCAAATTGAGCAATCTCCTACCCATCATAGCCCACACGTTCATGTTACCTCTGATGAAGATTAAAGGTGACCTGGAACCATAAGCTATAGCACCCCAAACCATAACTCCAACAGTGTGATGAACATGTCTTCAACAAAAAACTGTGGATTCCTCCTTTCACCACGTCGCCTTCTAACCCTGGCACGACCATCGTGCATGCCTAAACAAAATCGAGACTCGTCACTAAAGACAATACTGTTCCATTCCTGATGCCAGAGTGACTGTTGTCTGCACCACTCAAGGCGATTACGTCGGTGTTCTCGAGTTAAAGGGAGGACCCAGTGTGACCGGTATGAAAACAAGCCAAAATTTCTCAATCGTCGGTAAACACTTTGCATGCCAATAGGTCTTCCGTGTTCTGCAAACCATTCATTTGCAATGGACCTGGTAGTGGAGAAACGGTCCCTTAAGGCCAATAATCTTAGGCGGCGATCTTCACGGTCTGTTGGTCTACGGCGGCGTCCAGTCCCCCTTGCTCTTTGCGTACGGCCTTCTCGAAGCCATGCCTGACAACACCTAACCGCAGTGTGTACGCTTCTTTGCACTCTAACTGCAATTGCCCGAAAAGAAAGTCCAGCTTCCCGAAGTCCCACTATACGGCCCCTATCAAACTCACTAAGTTGACGAAATCGTACAGGTCTCCGTACTCCGTACTGTCAAGAACCAAAATCCGCCAACGTTGATTCTTTACTGCGGCTGAAATATTGATTTTTAGAGCGTTAGTGAATTAAAAAAGGCAGTATAATAACCGGAATGTTCAACTGATACGGCTGAAAAATTTTTCACTTGTTATTTACAGTAAGATAAATACATTCACCAACTTTTATTAAAATAAAACCATTTAAACTGGGTGTTCGGATTTATATGTCACTTAGTATATTTAAAGCATGCTATGGCGACAATGTCAACGTTTCATCTTTACCTTTGTTAAAATTTTATCTCTTAGTTTTTGTGAAGAAAGCAGTTTCTGAGCGCACAGTACAGATATTTTTAGTAATTGCTCTTTCATTTACTAGTGTTAAACATAACCAAATGCCTCGAGTACGAAGACATCCAAATTACCACCATATTAGCGACAGAGGTAAAATTATTGCATATTGAGATGTTGGTTTGTCGTATCGCGAAATTGGCCGCCGTGTTACTGGTACTGCAATGACGGTAATGCGTGTGTGTCGTATGTGGTTTGAAGAGGATAAAGGAACCCGAAGAATTCCAACTGGTCCACCGTGGCATACCACAGAGCGTCAAGATAGTCGCTTCAGATAACCAGCTCTACGAGACCGTTTTGTCACTACGCGTCAGATCCCTGACCAATGGTTTGAAGAAAAAGGTAGACTTGTTACTATGCGTACACTCTATCGCCGTATTTGAGCCTTTGGAGTTTTTTATACCGTCCACGGTTAGTGCTTCCTCTGACTGCGGATCATTGTCGTCAAAGTGTGAACTGGAGCAGAGAACGGCAATATTCGGAGGCAGAATGGCATCATGTCATCTTCAGCGACGAATCGAGATTCTGTTTAGGTCTGTCCACCAATGTAAAAGTAGCTTGCTATTTTTCATGTTAATTTCTATTGGTTTTATTTCCATTTAAAAGTGCGAATATTTGCAACTATATGTATCCGCCTCCATAATCAAATACTTATCTTATATCGAACTTTAATCCTTGTAGTGTGCTAGTATGCGTTACAAAGTTATCATAGCTTCGCAATTAATTCCGCATTTCTGGGAATTACAAAAAATTGCCGAAGATTGGAATTCAGCCCATCATGCTTATTATCGTGACTGGATGTGCTGCAAATGTATGCATTTTATCGATGCTTCTGCTTAGCAAAATGATATCTCTCCGATGGTTTTGCGGTAAGAAATCTGACAGTTGACTCCGCTGATTGTCGATACTTGGAAATTAAAAAATATTGTTTTTATTACCAAATTATATGCAATTGCTGAGTGACATAGCGAATTGCATAATATCTTTTCAAGTGTTTTAAATTTCAAGACCCACAGCATTGTTGAAGTGAATGAATATACACCTGCTTGTATGACTCGTCAAAAGGAGCTGAAATACACCTATATAAAAGTTGCATCATAAAATAAATAGTAAAAGATTAAAAAAATTTAAAAATAGGAGCTTTATTGCACAGATTTTTTTGATCGAGAAGACCACTGCCATATAAAATCATTGCGTTTTTTGTTTACTACTCATAAGAGTAGTAGTTTATCTAAATTTGGAAACTTTTTGTGTTATTGTATGGTTTTCAGTACGAGTCGTTGGTTCGATCAGTTCTACCAGTATTTTAATAGCGCATATACTTTCATTTGGCTGATTATTTTGTGAGCAAAAATGGTCCAGGTTCACGAAAACAATGGCATGGTAAATGAGATGCGGATTACGTGTTTCTAATAGTTCAACCGAAAATGTACCTGTATTTACCACATGCACTTGTTATGTATAATCGTTTACAAGAATCTGTCATCCTAGGCTAACTTACTTAAATATGAAAAATTTCAAATACAACTTTAACGTAACAAAAACTACAATTGCTTTTTGCTCTTTAACCCATAATAATATAATTAATTTTATTTTACTGTGACGAATGCCTATTTTGTTCCAAGTTGAGTAGCGACTAACAACTCAATTCTGCCTTCTATTTCTAAAATCTGGAGTATCTTCAAAAAATACTTAATGGCGTGGAGTCGCTTGTGTAATATGTACGTAGTCATGCCATAAGTTCTGTCCCTCGTTTTCAAACAAGTGTAGACCTGTTAATACTTGTCCGATTGTTTACATTGTGGTGTCAGTTGATTAAGCGCTTTTCGGGTAATTACATATACCTCAGTTTGTATTGATCTCTCGAAGCATAACGATGGAGTGGGGCAAGGCAGAGAACCGTATTGCAGTGATAGCTTTACATAAGTGTAATCACAGTGCTAGTCAGATTTTTGAACTCTTACGCGGCCTTCAAATATCGCGTAAATTTGTGTCTAGGACCATTCAGCGGTACAATGAGACGTCCTCTGTTGATGACAGGCCAAGAAGCGGAAGACCTCGTCAAGTAAGGACTCCAGCAGCCATCAAAGCCGTAAAAGCCAGGATTCAAAGGAATCCACTCCGGAAGCAGAAGATCCTATCCAGGGAAATGAAGATTCCTGTCCGGACGATGTCGCGCATCATTAAACAAGACCTAGGGCTAGGGGCTTACCGGAGACGTATGGGCCAGCGACTTACGGCCACCTTGCGACACATCAGGGCGACAAGATCCAAGAAGCTCTTGGAGAGGTACGCAGCTGGGGGATTCCGAAAGATTTTGTTCACGGATGAGAAAATCTTCACCATAGAAGAAAAATTCAACCGACAAAATGACAAAGTGTATGCAAGGAGTTCACAGGAAGCTTCGGAGATCATTCCGAGAGTTGAGAGAGGCCACCACCCTGCGTCAGTCATGGTTTGGTGGGGGGTGTCCTACGAAGGGGTCACTCAGCTCCATTTCTGTAAACAGGGCGTGAAAACAAAAGCGGCAAACTATCAGAGCGACATACTGGATCCTATCGTCAAGCCTTTAAGTGGTACATTGTTTGCCAACCAACACAGGGAGTCCGGACCTCAATCCTTTAGACTACAAGTTGTGGGACCTGCTAGAGCAGTTGGCCTGCTCCAAAGCCCACCGTAATATCGAGTCCCTGAAAGCGGATTTGATCCGATCAGCGGCAGCTATTCCTTTGGAAGCTGTGCGTGCAGTGATAGATGAGTGGCCCGCGAGATTGAAGCAGTGTGTGAAGGCCAAGGGGGGACATTTTGAATAAAACTGTTTGATTATGAATTCTAAAAATGTTGTCGAATAAATAATATCTTTCATATAAATATATCTTATCTTGTTTCATTTTTATCATGAGATTATCATGGGACAGAACTTATGGCACGACTACGTATTTTTTACCAGCGTGCAGAAAGTAGCACTTTTCCGCACTATGATGCCACTAGCCCTGACATCAAGAGACAGGCGTGGTTGAAGCGTACATAGCCGAAACGTTACAAAATAGAAAGCATACTTTCAAGAAAATTCTAGAAAAACACTGGCATTACCCGTCACAAAGCACGGGCACCACAAGCAGTGCCACTTCTACAGGACGTTCTAGAGAACGTGACCTTTTATGAAAAAGCGATGCCGGCGGCGGCACTAGTTCTGCTTCGAGAACGCCTTCAAATTTTCGTAATCCAAATAACTGTTCTTTTACTTTTAATACTGTTAACAATTATTGATGTTGATTTAACAATTATTAAATTTCTAATAAGACACTTTGTGCAACTGCCGTCGCGCGCGGAAAAGTATCACTTTCCACACTTCTTAGGTAAATAACTATTTCTAACCGATTCTCCTGCAAATATTTACAATCTTGGTGAATGTGATACTCACCTCCTCCATATTTAGCGGTTACATGAATGTACCACAAGTTATGAGCTAAAATGTTCACGGATACCCGGTTGAAATTTAGGAACAGATATTTAAAATCACAAAAGCTTTTAAAACCCGAATGAATTTCATCATTCGTCTTATTTAACACATATTTCGATCACTTCAATTGACACGAATATAAAATGTCTAAATACGTGAGTAGCAGCTGTTTCACCACAACATCAAGATCGTTTTTAACTGTCCTTACCTGAACGTAGTATCGAAACTATACCGAAATACTATTAATTGTTAAACCCCAAGCAAACCATAGACGCTATCTCACATTAGATTGCATCAGCATCACCATGATCGTAGCGGTTCCAGCACAGTAAACCGAATGAATTTACAATATTCGTAGCGATAAATAAATGTGCTCGTGAATATCTCTGATCTGCAAAACCGGAGCACTTACCGTAAGTTCGATCACATCGCCGCTTTTCTCCACCTGCAACTTCCAGGGATACGGCATCGGCAAGGGCAATTTTTTCATCAACCCTCCGTACACTTCGGCCAACAACATCATCCAGATGACTATTATGACCATTCCTGTCACACACGTGTCACCTGTCACTTTATCATAAGCGGGAAATACCCTCGGAAAGAAGATCGCGATCAATTTAGCCTAGCATACCATTTTTTCACTGTTCTATGTCTGACTAGCAAATGTTGGCGGGCGCTGATTTTTGTCGTTGATATATGTCTATCCCCTCCATTTCCTCTATCCAGATATTCCATCATCAAAGAAACACCAGATCCATGTGTAGGCGATTTGATTTGGGAGTACACGTTTCGAGACACGCCGATTTGCGATTGGTGCACAAGCAGGGAGTTGCATAAGGAACTCCTTCAAAGTTTCACCCCGTCGACAATGGAGATCGAGTGAAGGTCAAATAATTTTGATACAAGCGCTAGACGTAGTCGGAACGTTGCTTCGCTTTTTACCTGGTTGATAATTTAAATACGTTTTAGGATTAAAAAAATAGACTCAGAAAAGAGACTTGTTCTTCTAGCAACGTAGTATTCTATTTGGAACAAAAACTTTCATACTGTATAAACTCAAAGGGTGATTTCTTTAATATGCGCGCTAGTAGCCTTTTGACTATTTTCGAAAAAAAAAACAGTCAAGAAGGTTGACTCTGCACTTTTCACGCAACGCCATAAAGGAATACGTCCAGCACAAATTAGACCCACTGAGAAAAATGTCGGTCAAGTACAATCGGTCCACAGACGTTCTTTTACTGCCCTACCGATAGTGCATCAGGAAACCTCGCTTTTCCCCGATACTAACGCGGGCAGACGCGGGACCGTGGTAGCGCGGTAAGAGCACATAAAACGCTAGGCTGTTGCTCTCCACAAATACGTCTGATTACATACCAGAACACTCATCACTGTCGACGGACAGCAGCAGCCGCGGCCGATAAGTACTCGATCTGTCCTACGAAAATATTTTTCTGTTTTCAGGGTTAATGTCCAGAGAAATCTAAGATGTCTAATTGGTGGGTAGAATAACGAATGTTGGGAACGTATGAATATTCCAGCATCAAAAAAATTGACATGAGCCCTCCTTACTCCCTCACAACCCCCACTTCGATGCTTATTTACCGCAAGGTTTTTTTTCGAAAAACACGACATTTGAACGATTCTTAATTTTTTCTTTTCGTGTGAAAATTTAATGAAAACCCGAGCGGTATCAGGTGCCATCTATTGCCAGAATAGCAAATTATACTGGCTTATTTTAACAGTTAGCATATTATATCGAAGTACCGTGGGCTAAAGGACTTTCTTTGGCTAAATTAGCAACATTATTTACTTTAGTTTTCTCATCTAAGTCTTCATCAAACAAATATACAACAAAGATCTGAACTATGAAATACCATAAATGTTCTCAGAATTTTTGTGAAGCTGCTTTTGAAATGGTTTTGTCAATTTTTTCCTAAAACCTTCATAGCCTTAAAAAATAAAGTGCATTGCAACCACGTTTTCACGTATATCTCAGCTGGGAAGTTAGTAACAGTGTTTTTAATTAATATCCATTAATCCATCCAGCTTGATGCATGACACCTGGCGGTCGAATCTTAAATGTTTTCTTTATATCTCCGCCAAGGAATACTATTGAAAGTTCTATTAATTCTCGATAGACATCTCTAGCAACTTTGGTCAATTCATGTCGATAAAAGTCTAGCATCTTGTCAGACTTTGAAATACTCAGGCATGATAGCTTTTCAGCATAAATCTTCTCGAGATCAACACTTGTTCAGCTCTCGCCAAACTTTGTAAACATTGGAATGCTTATGATCGAAAAGCACGCATCACCGGTAATCTGACCCGTATTTGAAGCAGCTGTATCACAAGAGAGAATCTGAACTTTATCTTTAAGATTTCAGTCAATACTAGCATTCCAAATTGCCTAAGCTTACTCGCTGCCTGAAGAGTTATCCAATTTAGGTACAGCGATAAATTGCTCTTGATCTTCGTATGTTATAACAATCGGTAGACGTTCGTCTTTACAGTACCCGGTACCTCGCTTTAGAAATTAAGCTTTCTGGGACGAATTCTTCAAATGGAGAAGTTGCTTATACGTCAAGTTTTGCGCTCCATTTGCAGATGGGTGGCTGTTCAACGCAATTTTTAAAAATGATAAAGCCTGACGTGATCATTTTCGGGAAAAGAATAGCCAAAATAGTTTTTTACATACTCAAAGGCTTAACTATACTGGAAAATATGTTGGCGATATAACAATACATCTCCAAAAAACCGATAAGGTAATTTAGAATAATAGAAAGTTAAACATCTAGCTCCCATGGAATGTCATATTGTATATGTTCAACAGTCGACATTATTTCATCATCTTTACATATCGATGCCGAAATCATGCATGGATAGATAAGCAGATTAGTAACTTCGGCGACTTACTGAATATTTTCTCGTTTATATTTATAATTATGTAATTTAATTTTATTTTCGCATTTTTTCACCTTTCAGTTGTCTCTTAACAGTAGTCATCAAGAAGTTTTGCTTATATCTCTGTTACTGGCAATACATAAATTCCTTCTGGTTTTTGTAGACCAGAAAGATTCAGAACCAAATTATAACGGTTAAATATTATCAGCCTTTGAGATGCTGTACAAAACGCTTCTATTTTTGCAGTTTTGTTTTAGCAACTTGTGTGAGTATTTCTTGGATATACACATAGTGAGCAACTACACAGATTACTGTGACCTTACTTGCCATAGAGATTATCGGGTTAATTTTAAAACTTACCTCGGATATAGCTACACGCGTACTGTGATCCATGCTCTTCAAAACACCCCCATAGACTTTGACCAACAAAAACAACATCAGCCATATCTCGATTACCATTTCTGTCAACTACGTCATTACACTGTGTCTGATTGGTAAATGGTAAATGTCGATTTTTCCCGTAAATATATACCAAATTCCCCCCTTCTCGATCACATGTTGGTAAAATATCATTCTAGAATGCCGTGGGTGTGAAAAGAAGGGTAATGTTGCGTAACAATACATGTCGGTAGGTTTTGCTGGAGAATTATTGTATGTTCTTGGATTGCGGGAGCTTGTTAGTGCTTTTGTCTGCCAGGGCGGATTCAAAGGGAATCCTTAAGGCGGCTCCGACGCAGTGAGCTTCAAGGCTTCAGCTGCTTCAAAACTGACACTCCATTTTTCAATATTTTTGAATGAAATTATAACAGTATATTGAGAAGATAATTGCCCAGGGTACTGTAGGTGCACTTTTTGAAATTTTGTTTTTGCACAAGTTTTATGATGGGTTGAAGTGCGCACTTTTTCTGCTCAACTTCGCGATTTTTTTTAAAAGAACCTATTGAAAAAAACGAAAAAGTGGCTCTATAGCTCCCTGTGGGGTTTTGTTTTCAGCACTCTGTGAAAATTTCATACGAAAATATCAAAAAATAAAGCGTCAATTTCGAAGCGCGCAAACTTCTACAAATCGTATTTTGGACGAATTTCGTGCTGCCAAACCAAACGTCGCAATGAAAGGAGGTATTCAAATCATTTGGTGGCCCTATTTCTCCTCGATTTTAAAGCCGTTTTACTTCCTACGTCATTGTCGAGGAAGTATTGTAATCGCGAAAAATTTCTAAAATGAGATGTTATGTTTTTTTAACTCATATGACATCTACATCACGAAAAACTGTTTCACTCATTATCAACTTGGATATTACCGTTCGGATTTTTATGAAATTTCCACACGCGTTTACTAGTATGCCAAAGCTTTGTAGATTTAGTCCAGTGGCAACGGTGCTATAGGCAAAAAAGAAAAAGTAACAAATGCTGAAACTCCGTTTATGACGTTCCTAATCATTGACATAAAAAATTGTGCTGCTTAAAAAGGGGAGGATGAAATCAGTGAAACACGTTCTATTACTAAGTAGCTTCTGATCCCAGTGATTACAGGAAATTTAAGTATCGAAAATCCGACGAATAATGTGCTCACGATTTAAAAAAATCGGTACCTGCTGTATAGGTTTGACATAAAACAGCCAACAGATCTGCAACTACCGACAATAGGGAAGAATAAATTCGGATATCAATCCAGTCAAGTATAGGGGAATTTAGCCTGAAACTTTAAAATTATCGATATGTCAAGGAAATATGTTTTTGAGAACGATCATTTGGTAGATTTTATACCTGCATTTTCATTTGAATTTCATAACCCGTGAAATTTACCCATTTCGCCGCTACCTTTTGTGATGTTTTTCTGGATATAAGCACGCCATAATTGCCTAGGGTGCTATCAGAACTTTTTCAAAATTTTGTCTTTGCCCAAGAATTATGGTGGGTTGAAATGCTCACTATCTGTGCTCAACTTCTTGATATTTTAAAAAGATCCTAGTGGATAAAATCGAAAAAGTGGATCTCTGGCAACCTGCGGACTTTGTTTTTAGTATGCTGCAAGAGTTTCATTTAGAAATAATAAAAAGTAAGCTGTGAAGTGCAAATCGGTTTTTGGGCGAAATTCATCTACTGTTTCGTCCTGCCAGTCCAAGCGACGCGACCGTGTGTTCCGACTAAGAAAAAATGTATTCAAATAATTTTATATCTTTCCTAAGATAAATTCAAGAACTCAAATTCTAATTCGTTTATTCATGTCAATAAACACAATTATGTTTACAAGGGTCGTGTGGTAGATGATAACAATTGAACGAGGGTCATAAAAATATCTTATGCCGTCAAAATAAGACGAAACAGTTAGGTAGTTTTTGCAAAGCAATAAACAGGTAGGCTTATACCTGGATGAAGTACATGTCTTGTCTACTGTAATAGGTAGATGGAGGTGATGCTGCCAGAAATGGATGTGTGCGATCAATAAACAAACCACAAGATTGAACTGCTGTGTCCAATGATTTTTGTATTGCCTTTTTTTATAGCCTTACTAGAAAACTCTGTTGGGTATATGATCGAGTTTACTAGAACTTTACAGCTTGTTGTCTGCCGCCTTCTTCTACAAACTTCACCAAATCGAGACGCTGTCAACCTTATCCTCCGATGAAGACGCAACAAAGCACAGTCCTGTGATTTGATGAGTTGTTCGATATGTAAAATCTCGTCATCACTTTTTCTAAGTTTCCCTAAAAATTCTTGCTTAGCAACCTCCAAATCAATGTCGT